GGAAAAAAATTTTTTTTTTTTTTTTTTTTTTTGTTCTGTTTTAAAATAAAACTAATTTTGAAAACTGAAAGAAATCTTCAATCCATCTTCTTATATTTCAAAAATGATAAACACAGAAAACGAAAATCAGCACCCAAATGAAGAAATTAGGAAATATTTAACCAGACAAACCTGACAAGCCGGACGCTACTACTTATGGATGATTAATTTAACAAAAGAATATATTTCAGAAGTAATAATTATACCGTGTCGAGAGAATCAGCTCCAAGCTCAGAAAACTTTGATTCGCCATTGACCTTAGAATCTTCAGAAAGCGCAAGCTGTTTCCTCACGATTCCAGCCACCTTCTCTACGGTCTCTGGCTTAGCCTGTTCAAGATAAGTGTTTCACAAGTTCTGTAACTGCTAATATTACTACATGGATGCTATAAAGGAAATAAGGCATCCTCCATTGGAATACAATGTATGTTGTTGAACATACAAACAAACAACAAAACCATACCAACGCTATAAACCATAAACTCACAAATTACGCCCACAATGGTCAAGACATTATGAGGTCTGAAAATGTAACCGTCCAAACTCAAACCCACCGCTAGCAGATATTGTCCACGTATCACCGTCATCTATTAAGGAGAGATTTCCACACCCTTATAAGGAATGTTTCGTTCCTCCCTCCAACTGATGTGGGATCTCACAAAAGACCATTCATTCATTTTCAACAAGTGGATGTGGATTCCTCTCGTTTTAAATATGTGGAATCAAGCAAATGTGATAATGAAAAGCAAAATCGGTTAGATCACCACTCAATCCAAGCCTTAAGCATATGGATTACCATAATTATATCAATACTTCCAAGACTCCCGGGCTTGGAAATTAGTCCAAGACCCTAAGAAGAGGAAATAAATATCAATTGAGATATATTGGAATCGACATTCTACTGCATGATATGCCTTCTCTGATACCATGTTAAACCATCACTCATCACTCAGCAACCAGAAACTTGCGCGATATATTTAATTGTATCAACCAATACTTGAACAACAACAACCAACAGCAGCCAGCTATTTAAATGCAGACTTTCTCTAGCACTTTTCATCTATCTACATCTTTTCTTTTCTTTTCTTTTTATGAATTTGAAGTCTTGTCTTCATTATCCCACTTCCATAACCACCAACAGCAGAATAGAAAATTAAAAATATCACAGGCAATAAACAACCATACGAAGAGATCGGTGCAAGCACAAACAGAATCACAATTTCATGTTATATGTGATTTAATTAAGTTGATTTATTACTATTCAATTAATTGCAACAATTTTTTAGAGAACAATATAAGACAACAAAAATAGTTTCGAAACAATACGTACCAAAGACATGCAGGAAAAACTTACAAGAACAGCGGTATTATCGATTAAAAGCCAGAAACAAATATGCATGAAGCTCTCAGTATCATAAAACAGAGGATGGAAAACTTTAATTAAACCACGAAAAATGTAGTAAGAGAACACTTACAGCACAGCAAACTTGAAGGCTTCTCTGCCTGTAACTCCTTCTCAAGGGAAAACTCGCCCTGCTTGAAGGCGCTGAAACTAATTTCAAACCTGAGATCCTGCCGCTAGACACCTGCAGGAAGATTCCAGAATAAAAATAAAGATCACATAACACAAACAAAATATGTTTCTAAGATCAAATCCGACGATAAAACTCATGAACGCTGAATAAAAGTAAACAGATCTATCACCGTCCATGCTCAAAATTCCAGTACCATATTCAATCGAGTAAAATCCTCAAGAATATTAAAATGAACACGTTCAATTTTAACTAAAATCTCAAAAAACAAACAAAGATCAACAAAAAAACGTCTGCAACTTTAATCACAGGGAATGAACACATACATTTCCTCAACCTTTTACAAGAAAACTAATCGGATCCTGAAAAACACTTTGCAAAAGTACAGAAAACGGAATCTATAAATTCATATAACCAAGTTTACAAAGTTTCAAGCAAAAGTAGCTTGAATTTACAACAGATAAACCTAAAATGAACAAAGAAGAAGAGAAAAATGATTTACCTGGCTGTGCTTCAGAGAGGTGGAGAGAGAAGGCATGGAGACGGAAGATCCGGCAATGGAGAACATCTTGGTTTATGAGAGAGCTAACAAAGAGATCTAAGGTTTAAGATAGAAAGTGGAGGAAGGAAATGAGGGCGAAGAACACAAAGACTGTGAGACCCCCAATTAGCGAATAAAAGGCCTTTATAGCTGTTTGTTTACAACTTCGTGTGTATCGAAGTGTGTTTGGACGCGCAGATTCACTTCTCCGCTTTCAGTATAATTCCACTGCTCTTGTTTGGTTACGCGTATAGTTGAGAATTCAGAAAACCCTTGTGTTTGGAAGCCGTTTTTTCTTTAATTAATTTATTGCTAAATTATTAAATTAATCCTCAGCTTTTCCTTCGCTTAAAATTATATATACATATACTTTTTTTTTTTTTAATATTTCTCCAATTTTTTATAAATCATTCTTACAATTTAATAAATTATAAGAATATTACATATTTTAGAAGAAGATTTTATGAAGGAGAAAGAAGTAAATTTTACATTTAAAATTATAAAAATT